TAGTAACATTCATAGTCAGCTATTTGTACAGGAATTAATGATCATTTTTACATTAACCACTTGGAATAAACACATACAAAAACAATTTGAAGAAAGGGACAATGACATTATTATAACATTATTTTTACTTATTAAATTTGGCCTTTAAGTTATTAATTGATGGGATTTTTAAACCTTTTTCTATTATTTTGAAAAGATAGGAAAAGAAGTTGTTAGTCAGCGGAGCCTGAAAATCCTCACAAGCTTATGGAAAAAGACATCTTACCAGACTCCAGGATACCAGTCAGCTTATACAAACAGATCTAGGTCTCCTACCATTTCTATGGGAGCTTTTTATGAAAACAATATTAGACTGTTTATTATATAAGACTGTATTTTAAAAGATTTTATGGTAGATGAAAAATTCAAATGAAATATATCTTTAGCATTTTATCCTTGCCAAGTTGGTCTGCACAAGAGATACTGATGTTGAATAATTTTCCCATAAAAATGAGCATTCAGTATAAATACATTTATTTTTATTCATTTTGCAATGTACATGTTTGCCAAACTTTCTTTGACATTGAACCCATATGATTTGAATAGATGCTAATTTGTTTACACAAAGTAATCAAGGCCCCAGCATAACCAAGATTAATTATATCTATCTATCTATCTATCTATCTATCTATCTATCTATCTATCTATCTATCTATCTATCTATCTATCTATCTATCTATCTATCTAATTTTACCATGACAGCCCCACCACCTATGAAATGTTCAGCATTGAAAGGAAGGTGTTCTAAATTTAAATCAGTAAAAGCTGGCTTTGTACATGAATGCCTTGAGAGAGAGTAAATGTGAGAGGCAGACAAACTCTCCTTGCGGCCTAGCAGCTAGGAAGGAGCCAGGGGCCGAATTTTTGCTGGTATGAAAGGACTGATTGTCTGGGGTCCTGTGGAACTAGGAAAGTTACCCTGGTGCTGGTTTTACCCTATCTGCCAGGAACGTACATAGTGAACCAAGAAGGAAAAAGTAAAACCTTACCTTGTTATGACAGATAGCTTTCAAAAATGACTTTTAGGTGTGTATAAATACCTGTAGTAAAACATGCAGATGTAGACTGGAAATTACTGTATTCATACCAATATTAAGACTCTCAGACTGTTTATTTGGTTTTCTGAAGCAGCGAGTCAGAGGAAGAAAGAGAGAGAAGGTATTTTAGGACCAGACATTCCTCCGCATTAAAAATAAGGCTCCATTGAGGTTGTCCTTAAAGATGCATAGAATGGTTACCATGTTCACTGCCACTAAATAGCTCTGCAAAGGTAAATAATAACACCTGAAAAAGGAAGTGGATGGATTTCTGTGCTCCTCTAGTTGCAGAGGCTTTAAGCAAATCAAGAAATCAAGTGAAGAATACAGGGTACAGGTATACAACATAGCTATACTGTCAACAAATGTGACATCCCTGGAAACAGCTGCATTTAAACGTACAGACAGAATGAAGGAGAATTAACGAACAAATTATTTTAGTTGGGCACGTCTTAGCATTAAAATAAAAAACCTGACTTTTATCTTTACATGTTTTGTGTTTACATATTGTCTGTGATGTTTGTTTTCTGCTGGCCTTCATTAAGATGACAAAACCCATATAAAAGTGCAATGAAGATCCCAGTGGGAGACATACTATTTTATGGACTTTGTTCTGACACAAAGAAGGACTGAGAGGGGACTGGTAAAACTGCAGCCCTTGAGTACGGAAAACAGATAAAATAAGTGAAAATCCTGTCTGGGTATAATAAATTAGAGAGCAGTCTATTCTCCAGCCTTGTTGGGGTATGTGAAAGTACTGTCTGGCTAAAAGAGAACGAACAACAAAAAATAAAGTTAAAGATAATGCTGTGTAGTGGCGACACGTGGGTAAATGAAAGTCAAGGTTCCAAAAGGCATTAGTTTCTCTCAATAGTGCCATTGTTGTATGATCTTTCCTTCTTTCTCATTGTTGTATGCTCTTTCCTTCTTCCTCACACATGGGTGATGTGTTAAATTCTCAGTTCCAGTAACTTGGGATGAACGCCGCAGGTCTGTCAACAGTCCCATCTGGGTAGCTGCCACTGTTAATTGACACTAACGAGAAGGACTCGTAATTGCAGGGGCATAAAAATTAAATCTAGTAAGAACCGTTTCCTGGCTGTGACCCTGGGCATGGTAGGGCCTAGGACCATGGGGAATGCATAGCTGTGTCGCAAAACAATATAAAGCTTATGAATAATAAGGTATAAATTAAGTATAAAGTAAAAGTAATATAAGTAATGTTACAGTAAAAGTATAATCTATTTTTATACTTTTACACATTACTTTGCATTCCAGATATACTTGAAAATGCGTGACACAACTGTTTTATCTGTGAGTTGATGTCATAGCTGTGAGGGCTGTTATTGGTTAACATTTGATTACACTCGGCTTCCATTTAAATTTGTTTAACTAGAAATTGATTGAAAAAATTAACCAGTTTTTCCATTTCAGTTTTTCAGTATCCTATCTAGGACAAGAAGAAAGTCCATCTGATGGAAATTTTATGTGGTGATGTAATGCACTTACAGGTAGGAAGTAATTTATGTTCTTGACACTAAAACCCAGATATATAGGTGATAAGTTTCCTTGAAATTTAGATGGGTGGGGAATAGTCCCAAAGTCCAACCTTGTGTATAATGGGACTTGACAGATGAGCTGTTACTTAAGTTAAATTACCAAGTAATTATTTAATGACATAAAAAGGAGCAGAAGTAGTTCTTGAGCAAAAACGAAGACCCTCTCAGCACTACAGTTTACTCGATTGCTTTGGAGCATTTCTCAAATGACAATATTTATAAAACAAGAAGTATAATCCCTACACCATAATGTCACATCTGCACAGCAGAGCATCATTTCTCATTGCTTCACACAAATTTCAAAATGTTTTAGTTCATGTATGCAAGTGGTTTTGTACAACTGTCTTCATTTGACACGGTTTTCAGTTGCTTTAGTGTAGTTGGTCAAAAGAGATTGTGTAGTTTCCCACTGTAATAATATAACAGACAAAACCATGAATATAAGTGATAATTACATAAGCCACCGCATGCAGAACAGTTCACCAAATTTTCTAAATTTTTCAAAAATGTATTCCATAATTTGCAGGAATAGACCACTGTTGTGTTTTTTGTTCCTACAGTACATGTTTTTGTTGCCATTTTGCTGTTTTTGTGTTATACTGTACCATGTAACATTTTAGAAAGTGTCATTCAGACTGGTTCAGCTCAGGAGCATACTTACACTGACATTTTGACAATATATTTAAGCATTTTGATTCTCATGGGTACAGTTTCTCTCGATTTAATGAAACGTACTTAACATTCTCATGACTCTAAGAGCATGTCTCAAAACAGTTTATGCATATAGCACAACACTATTATACAACTGCAAAAGGGCAACACTCACCCAAAACAACTCTTGTGTTATAAGCAAATAATTCTATCAATGAATTAGTCAGTTCCACCATTTCATGAAATATATTTAACATTTTCACAATGGCAATACAAGAACAGCAAATTGGCAACAAAATCACGTGCTGTGGGAAAGCACAACAATGCCATATCGCGATTTATGAAAAATACTTTTGAGTCATTTTCAGAGTTTATTGACCTGTTTTGCATGTGATGGCTTACATGATGATTACTTAAATATATAGTTTTGGCTGTACTGTATAACTCTACGATGGGAAACTACATCATTCATTTTGACCTAGAGCAACTGAAAATTGTGCCAAATTATGACAATTGTGCAAGAACATTTGCATTCATGTACTAAAACATTTTTGCAAAAATTTGCATAAAACAATGAGAAATGACAATCTGCTGTGCACAAGTGACATTGTGGCGCAAAAGCTGTTCTGCAGATGTTAATTGTCATTTGAGAAAGGCTCCAAAGCAATCGAGTAAACTGTAGGACACGTCTTTGGTAACCATATTAATATATGAAGATACAATGTTCAGCCTCAGCTAAATTTGCCTTGATTATAAATAATTTCCTGGGTTATTCATTTGCCATTTATCATATTCCTGCCTCATTTATTCTGTTTTATTTGGATGTTTTCCTTTTGAATGTGTAGTTCAAATGTTGTGTCCACTGCTTTTGATTTTGAGCTCAATATACATTCAATATACCACCAGTATGGGGACATTCAATATACCACCAGTATGGGGACATTCAATATACCACCAGTATAGGGACATTGTATGGGGGATTGTTGATACTATCACCTCTGTAACTTGTACGTTTGCTAACACGCCAATTAAAGTCAGATATATCAATGGTGTTTCACTAGAAAATTTAATCATCTTGGTTCTTTTCTGTGTTTCTTTTCAGTTCAATTTTATCAGGAGTCACCAAACAATACCCACAGCCCAAAGAACAAAGTCCAAAATGTTATCTGTCCACCAGTCTCTTATGTTCGGCAGACTTTTACACTGCACAGCTCGTTAATCATTGTTTATGCCAGCATAAAAAAACTAAAACAGGCAAATCTAAAAAGTAACATTGAATTTATTTAATAGCACTGGCTAATTTACTCTTCTCAATTTACAGGGCATTTAAAGTTTATATATTATAAATCAGCACCATCAATGGAGTATTAACTTAATATCATAGCTATAAATACAATCTATTTATTTATCCAAACAGTGAAATTACATATTATAAAACTGGTTCAGGCTCATCTTTCTATTGCTCAGTTTGTGTTAATGAACTGCCTTTCCTATGTTGACAAATAAATGAATGATACAATATTATAAGAAAAGGACTTTCATACCTCAGTTACACTTTGGCAACGCTCAATTTTTGTTCAACTTTTCAAGACTTGAACAGCAGGTCCATAAGATATATAGGGCCAGCTTTTAAAATTTCTTTAAAACAGTTAAACACTCTTAAACTCATTATAATGATAATTATTAGTTTATTCAGTATATGGAAGCCCACAGAATTACACTCTTACACATTTATTCAAGTAAAATCAAATTAAAACAAATCTGCATTTCAGTATACAACATTTCATTTTAAATACCATAGATAAACATAACTTCCAGTCTTTTTCCAGTATTTATTTGCTAATGTCATACAATTTAAAGTAAAAAGATGGAGAACTGTTGCATTATACAATTAAGTTAGAGAGATGCTGTGGTTCTCCAACTAATCAACTGAATTGTTCATCAGATATCCCAAACAAAACTGTTTCTCTTCTCAGTTTGCTGGACAACTATATGTTCAGGTGTCTCTTGAGTATGGCAGATTAAAAGTCTGTTTTCACAAAGCTGTAAGAACATACCAAGATAACATTCACTATTCATTTTCTGATTTGATTCAATAATTATCTAAATTAATATTTACAATTTGAGATGTGAGTTATTTTTGGCCCATTCTTTGTGGGACCAAAAAAAACAACAATGAACAAATTGCATAAACTGTAACAATTTTCTGGAAAAATATGTCATTTTAATGTTTTTTTTAAAGTATGGCCTTGTATGCCATTGTGAAGCTATGGATACCGTATCAGTGGAAGTGGCTGATCTTATCAGCTTAAATGTATTAACTCCCTACTCACTGTGTATAGTTCACAGTCACATTTCTGAAGTCTAACTCTAAGGTGTAATTTCTTTGGGTTCCTGGGGTCTTTCAGCTGTTTTGAGTTGTGCTAGTTCTACGACCATTGTTTCACTGGTGAAAAGAAACTATACGTTATCTGTAAAAACCAAAATGATTCAATGTAACATATCATTCATATAGATGGGTGTGACATGGGGGCTCAGTTGGACATGGTGTTGGCTCAAACATCAGGTACCGTGGGTACGATCTCCCACCCAGCTACATGTGTGTGGAATTTGCATGTCTCCCACCCCACCCCCTCCCCCAGGCAGAAGGGCAAAAATATGCGATTAGATGAACTGGTGCCTCTGAATTGCCTATAGTATGTAAATTTGTACCCTGCCGTGAACTAGCACCAATCAAGTATCAATGTTAAAATGAACACAATTCGAATTTCATTATTCTCAGTTCTTTTTAAAGACAGGCAAGAAGATGTTTTTCAATTTAAATTATTTAATGAATTTAGCGCAACAATTTTAAAAACCACAAAACACAAAACAGAAATGGTCTAGAAGAAACTGTTTAAAACATTAAACCTCATTTTAACATATATGTACATTGAAAACGCTTTTTTCAAATCCTATTATACTTTAATTCAGTCCCAGAAAATGTAATGTGTACATTTGGTGTTTTAAAATGTTTTTTCCCCCACATAAGCTCAAATTAAGGTTCTTTATTTTCATTATCTTCATAAGGTAAAAGAATCAAAATAAAACCTACTTGAGAATCCTGGGTATGTGTGAGTCTGTCACATATGACACAGGTCATATAAACCAAGCACACACAGATGCCTTGACATAGCCCTTGAAATTGTGCAATAGCAAATGTATGCATTGCATGTGATTTTACAACAAGTGTTTAGCTGTCAAGATACACTTTCTAACTGATTAAGCATTCTCACATCTAATCAAACATTCTCACATCTAATTAAGCATCCTCACAACACACCAGTACTAGAAAAAGTTAGCATGGGATATGGTGTCCTTTGCAAATTTTTGAAATGAAAACAAGATGACTTTTGTTAGAAAACTGTTTATCAGCCAGTAATTCAAAAACCAGCCTTACTGATAGCATTACAAATTCTAAAATAACAGTATATCCAACAATTTTTTACCTATTGTCTTCACACAATAAAATCAAACTAAAAACAGTGTGGAAATACAGATATTAAAACACTTCTAAGTTCAGAAAATATGGTACATACACATTATTTTCATCCATTTGAATAAACATATAAGAATAATAATGATGATAAATAATAACAACCATAAAAATGACCTGAATTTGTATTATTTTTATTACTAATATGATTCATTTATATTTATTTTTCTGTTCATGTTGATGATAAATTATTTAACATCTATCAGTCTGTTTTCATGATAACTATGGAAATCAAATCTTATACATACAAGTTACGGTTGAATTTTTTTTTTCATGGTGGGGTAATTGGGATGTTAACTGATGATTTTATCCAAAAAAAATTGAAAAAAAACTCAGAAACTTGTCTTATGTCTTTCTTAATATATAATGATCCGGAACATGAACAAAGAAACAAACTTGAAAATAGATTTGCTACAGTAGTTTCATTAAATTTTAAATAAATTGTTTCATTTCCTCCAAAGTCCATGATTTTCTCTTTGATCATAAAAGAGAAAATTCCCTATTAAAAAAAAAGAAAAACAGCAATTGCTAGAAGCAAAGGTAAGAACAGCACTAAAAAAATAAAAACATTTTCTACCATAAAACCAGTGAAAAGTACACAATGAAAACAACATGCTATTTAAACTGCAATGGAGCATTACACTGTAACACACTGAGGGGTTCTTATTCAGCAACAGTTGAAAAAAGCAGTAACATGAACCTCATGAGTTCGCCACAACCTCAGAAATTATTTTATTCCATTTTATATGATTAAATGCAACTCTGTACAAGATATATTAATTTCTTCATTTTATAAATAAATGCAGCTCTACTGACAATATTTACAGTTCTTTGTGCATGAGCCTAAGAAGAGCTTTTTATGTTCTTTGTTCTTTATTCTGTAAAATGACTCCCAGGTAACAGTTAAGTAACAAAGGTGCATATTCACTATGATAACCCTGCATGCACTTTTAAAAACCTACCTCTTTGGTAATCTAGAGCAGTGTTTCCCAATCTGGTCCTTGGGGGGTCCAGGCTGATCCATGTTTTTGCTCCCTCTGAGCTACGTGCCAGGCAGTGCGCATTTTTGCTCCCTCCCAGTTTCCCAGAACAAAAACGTGGACTGTCTGACATGACTGTGTCCCCGAGGACCAGATTGGGAAACATTCATCTTCGGCTCATTTTATATCCATTATCTTTAACCTGGCTTTTAACTATCCAGTGGAGGTCACCAATCTTGTTTGTATCTCCAACTTTGCATGTTTTATATAGGCTGAATAGTGTGACCCAATAGTGTAACTGTAAGAGTATTAGAAGGGCGAGTTCAAAGGGCAACATTCTATGAAGCATTCAAAACTGACCTGCTATACAAGGTTTGATAGTAGGTTCCAGAGTCAATGGCAGAGGGCCCATTGCTGTCATAGATCTGCTTAGCAGCCACTGGTGAGGATGCACTGTAGGTATTGTAAGTCATCATTTGGTCTTGGTAGGACTTGAGGTCCATCTTCTGCTCATTGGACATTAAGTTGGTGATTGAAAAAGGGTGGTTGAAGTTATAGTGTGGGTCCATGGACTTTAGGGGGTCATTTTGGGGGTCCATATGTTGCATGACACTTGAGAGGAGGGGGCTACCACTCACAGTCTGGGAGTGGAGGTGTGTTGTAGTGGACACCGAGGACAGGGCTGAGGAGATACTAGGTGTTCCCTGAACGAGAGACTGGGGACACTCCAACTGCACTAATCCTTGTGGTTGCTGCTCTTCAGAGGATGATCCCGGATGGGAGCTGTTTGAATGGCCAGAATCTGCCCCTTCTGAGCCTGGGGTAAGATTAGATTCGTTCTGGAGGTTTTCCTTATGCCCTGCTTTGCCTCCCTCTTGGGATTTCCCAGAACACTTCTTCCCAGCCTTGTCTTCAATCTTGAAACGCTTCTGGCGCCGGAGGTAACAGCCGTTCTCAAACATGTTGCCCGAGTTGGGGTGCAGAGCCCAGTATGACCCCTTGCCTGGCTTATCAGGGGAACGAGCCACTTTGATAAAGCAGTCATTGAAGGACAGCGAGTGGCGAATTGAGTTCTGCCATCTCTGTTGGTTCTCTCGGTAATAGGGGAACAGATCCATTATCCACTGATAGATCTCATTGAGGGTGAGCATCTTGCTGTTGGACTGCTGTATGGCCATGGTGATGAGTGAGATGTAGGAATAAGGCGGCTTGGCATGTGTTAGCGAACGGCGGTAAGTCTTTGGCATTTCCTTAGTCCTGTTTAATGTAGCTGGCGAAGTATAGTTCAGCTGTCCCATGGATTGGCCGATGTTTTGGTAAGGGGAAAGGGAGCTGAGGGTTGGTGCAGGAGAGTTCATCTGCGTAAGGGTGCCAGAGCTGAGGGAAGAGGAGGCTGGGGCCAAGTTCATGTGGCTGTTGCCTGCACCAATGGGGGCAAGGGGGCTGGTGGAGAAGCTACCTGTAGAGTAACCTATATTCATGGCAGCCGGGGACCCAGCGGAATTTAGATTAATGTAGCTATTGATGGCGTTCATAGTCCCCAGACTGGAATTCATTGTACTAGGAGAAGGGTACATCTGAGGAGATAATGGAAAAACAACTTTAATTTTTTTTTCTTCACTTTTTCATAACTATTTAAACCTTCAGCTTTATTGCAAAATGAATACAGCGACCAGTCGAAACAGAAACCCTGCTTAAACACCCGGAGTTGTAACTGAAATACCAGTTTGTTTTTTTTATTGACATTAAATTGCACTTTAAAAACTGAAAAATTGGCAGAACAATAATGTGTACCACCGTTAATAACACGACTTAAGCGAAATAAAAATAATTAAAAAAACACGTTCAAAATTGAAGTAGAAGTAATTAATATGTAACTGATTTATGAATGCATACATTGTTCAACAAATCAACAAGTCCTGGCTGTTTTCAAAGGTAAAATGTTCCTCTGTCGAATTCTGTGAAAGGGCCACTCATAAGATGTGTGAAGAAAATCAGTGTCTTAATTTTTCATTATTCGGCACCTATAGGCCTAATAAATAATTGGGTATTTCAAATTTAAAAAATAGAATTAACAGCATTTAAAGCGACAGCCAGCTGGAACATTTTATATCAGAGGATTTGCGATAACAGTCAGTTTAGTTGTGAAGCACTAAAATTAATTTCTGTTTATTTAACTAGGTACTTCCAAAATAGATCCATTGAAATTATATATAATACGATTATAGACAGATAATACGAAATGCCATTGCTTATTTCTCTTAATCTCCCATTCTGTAATTTTATTATATGTAACATTGTAAATCTGATTTAAACTGGGTTCTGTATGGTGAAATCAACATGACACGAGCATTCACGTTTGCCTCCCTTTACCGTCATTATTTAAAAAACAACGTTTCGATTTAACTTGCCGATATCTGAAAATAAACTTAACACAACATTTTCCACAAAACAAACTACAAGACGTGTACTTGTAAAAGGTAGGCTAATTAAATGTGAAACAATATCGTTATTTTTTTCAAGTATCAACTGCGATTCAAAATAAAAAAGAAAAATAGTTCATGTTTAACTATCCAAGTAATTGAAGTATTACCCTAATATTGATACAAAAGCCATTTATACAATTACGACTCACCTCGTTCGCCTCGCTGTAGAAGGAATTCCAATCTGGTATTTCATGAGACTCCATCTTCACTGAACTCAACATCCCAAGAAGAGCGTCCTTTTGGGGTGTGTGGGTGGGAGTTACACAGATTTAATAGAATTATGTCTCGAAGTCGCTTAATTTATTTGAACGCTCAGTAACCGTGGTAAAACAAGATTCCATTAACCGTGCATTTCAGGAAGATCCGGGTCTCAGGAGAGTGGTCAATATCCACAGCAAGAAAAAAGTTGCGTAGGCGCAAAATTTAAGTTTCAGTAGACGTATTTGTAAAATTCGATTTGCTCACTTTCGATAATAAGAGAAAAATCATTTGTTCCTTAAAAATTCAGTAACTATGGCAGAATTATGAAGAATAATACTTTTCTATCAAATGAAATCCTCAAATGGTCATGTATATCCTGCAGTTGGATTACAGCCCCGAATCCAGTGTCATTCACTCAGTCACTTAGCCAAGTATAATAAAGGTCTGACGTTCAATCTTTAAACGCAGGTAAAGGGCCCGCCCCGATGTGCAATTTGAATATCCCGGGACAAGAAAAAAAAAAAAAAGTTTATTACTCTCTTGATTATTTTGCCACCTGGTGTTATGTAGGCCTACATATACACAGCAGCCTGCATATTTAATTTGTCTCTTATTTTGTATAATTTATATTTCGCGTATTTCTCTTACGTGTAGCAATTATTATTTACTATTTTAAAACAGACACCATTTTACCATATAACAGCCAATAAAACACAATATCTTGGATAGAACTTGTCTAACATATATCTACGCTAAGGGGTAATCATTTGACAACAATTAATGTAGGTTAATCCTACTTGTATCGCACGAATTTTATTTATTTATTCTTTATTCCGCAAAAAATCCCACACATTTATTTTGATTGTAAAATACCACACATCCGACTAGGCCTATGTGATATATTTTAAGGCAAGTGTCTGGGATAAAATCAAATATAAGTATAAGATGAAATGAAACTTCGATTCAGGGAATGTGATCCCGTTTATAAATGCACTAGCACCTTCTGCTCGAATGAAGGCATTTCTTTTTTCCGGGAGTAGCCTACACTTCATACCAGCGGGTTGTCTGATGGGTGCATTGAGGTGTCATGAAGGAAACTTGTTAATTCCCGCAGACTATCACTTTGCTCGATATACAAAGAGAACAACGATCAATTTCCACAGTACACTCAAGAGCTTCTCCACGTTAATGCTATTATGTACACCCTATTTTCACTGCAGAACGTGGAATTATGATAAAATATAATAAAAAATATCTTAAAAAGTATTGAAATAACATATATTGAATCATATAGGTTTGTTGTTTAGACCTTTCTATAGTTGTTTTGTTCTATAGGCCTAGTTATAGTCAACAAAATATTCACAATTTAGGCCTATATAAAAGCTTAATTGCAGCCTATAACAAGTATAGCAATTATATGGTAAGAGCTCACTTTGTTGCATGCTCTTGTTTTTGCATTTATTAGTAAAACACGCTGTTTTTGTATTTATTTTAATAGTCACTTCCTGCGTGCAATATGGAATTCTGTTTAATCGAGAACGCGGTGCAGAGTGATATAGAGCACGGATTGTTGTTGACTAAAATAGATACAAAATAATAAAAACACAAAAGAGTCGTTTCATTCCTGTAATTTTGTTTTATTCTTAGGTCTGCATGTGGAAGGACAGGAAACTAATTGAAAAACCACTTCCCATAGCTAACTTGCATGGAAGTGCCGTTTCTTTTTAGAATATACATCAGTTCATCCACGGTAGACAGTGAAATCTGAATATCAATGCATTTCCTAATTGCCATTGAAAAGAGATGTAATAGATAGGCATGCATATGGTCAATGGGATTAGCTGGAAACAGCTGACGACATTATGTTTTAACGTTGTAATCGCGTTCGTTTAAATATAAAAGTAATGAAAAGGGGAGTTCGAGTTAAAGGGTTGAACGATAATAAATAGGCATAGCATAAATCAAAGCAATACTTTCACGTCACCAATTAGGGTACTAATCTGACGCCTCTCCCTCACACAAATTTACCACAGTTACCGCATTTAAAAATAAATTCGTTTTGTGATGTATTTCCGATGTTAAAATGAAAATATAAAAGTTTGATTCTTTTGTGAGGAATACACAGAATAGGTCCGAGACATAGGCTATGTTATCAACGCAGGCTATTAGTATTATAATGGTTACAACTTATATTGTATGTTTGGCCGTTAAAATGCTAATTGGCGTCTGAGATGCTTAAGATAGGGCAACTCAGATAGTTCATTAACACCTCAATAATTAGTTAACAATAGATTTAATGAGCTAACAGAACTAAGGAGGAAACCAGAGATTTGAATCTATTATAACTTGATTAACTTAGGAAATAACTTGCAACTTGTAAACTTTGTTGCCATTGTTAATTTTAATGTAATTTACAAAGTAAAATACATTTTAATATATTCCATTGATTTCAATTCCCTTACGGAAGTAAATGGCTACAGATTCTTAAATACAACTACCCCATCTACTGGTCAATGTAAGCACTGCACACTGTGAAGATGTTCGGCATGAGCACCGCTTTTTCTGTTACTTGTCAACGGAAACACTTTAAAAAACAGATTTACGGCAGTTAATATAGTCAGATGAGTCACATGACACATTCCTATACATTGCTTGTATCATTGACTATCGACTATGAGGCGACGGTGGGGAGGGCCGGGTACCCCTCAATACTGGATTTATTCACTCCCCCACCCACAGTAAACAGTCCTTACCTTAGTATTTAAATTATTAACCTGTGTCTCTTCCCCCGATTATCAAACTCTCTCCTATAAATTACCTCGATAATTCTTTCTTTGCAGTGTTCCCACTGGTTTTAATACATCCATTGACAGTTGAACTAAATGCAGGGAAGGGCTGGGGAGGACCTGGAGTTCACGCACCCTGGCCAGTTTGGAAACGCCAGTTTGCCCCCTGGCTTGTTTTTGGACTGTAGGAGAAAACGCGCACATTATGGGGAGAACATGCTAACCCCACCCATGAATGGTAATTCACGATGCAAACCCCCGGCACTACGCACGTTAGGTGACTGGGCTACAGTAAGCTACCATTACGATCTTCAATAAAGCACAATGAATTTTACTTAGCATAACGGATAGTTCAATATTATACTATGACAGCACACAAACCAGAATTATATTCTATAGGTATTTTATCTGGATACAACGATTAAATTTGCAGATATTAGTATTAAACGTAATATAATTAATCAAATTCAGATTAACAAAAACAGGCTTGTGAATGAATCATTAGCCTATTTACAAAATTGAGTCATTCAGGATATTTAATTCAATAACTAAGGTTTTAATTTGCAAATGCTTTTACAATTTTATAAACTGTATTTGCCTATCCTAAAGTGAATTTGTTTGTTTACTGCATCCTTGCATTAGTGCATAACCTCGAAATCTTAGTAACATCTGCATTTTCTCAACAGATTAAAAGTTCACTTTCTCATCAACTTCATTTCCACTTGTGCATAAATACCTACCATTGAGGTCAAGTCCTCAATATTTTTTCTGCAAATTTCAATAAACACCATCCATTACGGGGCGCACCTATGACAGACTAACACTATTGACCTCAGTATTTTAAAAATCCTGACTACGGCTCTGTTTCAATTGTAGCCCCCACCCCATACATACAGGCCTGTGGCGACAATAACATATAACCTACAAAGAATGACACCAAAAATGATTAACAGTCATTGTCAAGTGGAATGCATGCAACGTCACCAGCATTAGGAACATCTGGACCCACGCAGCACCGCAGTCGAAATGGAAGAAAGGGAATGATCCCACTCGATGGGCAGATGGTACAGCGCCGCAGAGGTGACGCTGCAGTTAATCGCTGATAATGGCGTAGTTATATCAGGGCAAAGGTGAGGCAGGCAAAAGGGCCTTTCAGCACAGCTGTAAGTGAAAGTGAACTATGAGACGACTAATGTTCCAATTTATTGTACTTAATGTAGGAGAAAATTATACAGTTGTTTGATGAGTTAATTTTATGACATTTGATACATGGTATGAATATTTTTGAGATACCTGAACGAGCAAAGAAGAAATTTCCTGTTTCAGACATTTTCGTAACTTGATAGTGAAACCGGTAACTGCAGTTTAAAGTCACGGTTCTTTTGACAGAGCATTCAGGTTTAACTTAACATGCAGCTACATGTTCGACCTCACAATAAACTGTTTAAACTTGTTTTAAACCGGGCGAAGCTAAATTGCGATTGTCTCAGTGTGTACAAGCAAAGAACTGCAGATAACCTTAACTGAAAACAGCTGTTTCATGCAAATGGTTGAACCATAAAACTAAAGAAAAAGGCACTTCATGAAAGCGGGACAGACGTCAGCGCAACTTGACAGCGTCAGGGAGTGTGTTTGTCCAGACCATGACAGCATTGCAGTCTAGATGATAATGCAATTTACAGTAATACAAGCTGATGCATTCTGCATTGGCAATTCACGTTACGGTGTACAACAGCTATAAACAGGATAACAGAACAACAAATTGTCCCAAAAAACGTTATTTTAATAGCTTCAGTCACTACTCTGATTTTTTATATATAGTTGAAAAGTGCATCATGTGTTGGTTAAACACACATTGGGTGTACTTAAGTGTGTTTTAGGATGAACGCATTGTTTGCAAGCATTTGATCTTTCTTCTGTGCTTGCATAGTATGTTTTTGTGTTGAGCCTTTATCAATGTGTGTGCCCTGCAATGGGTTGGCACCCTGGCCTGGGTTATTCCCTGCCTTGCGCCTGTGGGATAGGCTTTGGACCTCCGCGATCCTGAATAGGTTACGTGGGTATAGAAAAATGGATGGATGAATGTTTTATTTCGGATTATTGGTTGTCGAGTTTACAAGTTTTTACATTTTTATACTAATATTTGAGAACATTTTTTGGGGTTGCGGAGGAAGCTCAAAATATTGGAAATATAATTAGCATTTTTTCAGAAGGAAATTAATAGCACAAGTCGAGGAAAAACTTTTTTTTCAAAACAACAGTTAAAATAAGTAAGAAACCAAGGCCTAATATTCAGTATCAGAATTTCAGTTGATTCATTCAAAAATCTTAAAATTTTAAGTTCACAAGTGTGGAATTTATGGCTGGTCTGTTGGTTGGAAACGACTTGTAGCCAAGCACAACGCACAAAGACTGTAAGGAGAACAAAACCTAGACCCCTGAAAACAATGGGAAAAGTATTATCACTTAATGAGTCTTCCTTCACACTTCTGTACAGTATCTTGATGGGTACACACAGGGCTGGCACACCCTACAGGCAACGGGCAGTCTAGGTCGCCATTTGATTTGGGGGTGCAAAAGAGGGAAAAACAAAATCAGAAGAAATACCTCTGCTGGCATTCCATGAGATTACAGTTATTCACACTAGTTTTAATATTTCACTACTTTTCTTGCGAAACAAATGTGCAGTAGCTAGTTAACAGTCAGATGTAATGAGATGAACCATGTAATGAAATGTTTTAATATAAATTAATTGACAAAATTAATTTTCTGCTGCTCTGGGGGTGGCTTCAGTATAATCTTGTCCAGGGTGCCACAACATCCAGGGTCCATTCAGCAGATGCAAATATCACTGAATTAGTATGGGATCTTCTGGACTAAGTCCTTTACATAGGGCAGGGGTTTCCTTTATTTTGATCCACTTGTGAGTATTTATGCATGTATATATGTTGTATGTATGCATATCATTGAAGGGTGGGCAGTCTTATCCACAAAGGGCCAGTGGGGATGCAGATTTCGGGGATAAGCATTAGGTCAGCTGTTCAAACCCAGGTGTGATTTCTCTTCAGCCAATCAGCACCCTAATTAGTAATCTAATTAGGGAACTGCAGGGAAAACCCGCATACACAGCAGCAGCCCTTTCTGGATAAGATTGCCCACCCCTGATTTTGGTTAAGGTATTACATAATTAAAGCCATATGGACTTCAATTGTACTTGGAAAAAAATTTATGTGCAGGAATATATAAGAATCCCCAAAAGTTTTGACAATTACATGTATAAATACACTGTATGATTTACACTTATATATTGCAATACAGGCTATTGCTGCTGTCTAACCAAAATATTCATGAGCTTCCAAACAACTGAAATTAAGAATACCATAAGAGAATCTTTACAACATATAGTATCTAACTTGAGTATTTTTCACATTCCAAAGTAAATGATACAAAGCCTAATGATGCACATTTACAATAACCTTGCTTCTTGCAAATAAGTTGGACTGATTGTGAAGACAATTCAGTATTTGCTTACAAAGGACTTGACCAGACAACAGCTTTAAGGGCCATAATAACCTTGACTACGTTAGGGACTAACGCAGCAAGTGCTTATGCCCATTTCCCAGAATTGAACCACATCTGAAACATGATTGCTTCAACAAATGGATACTTTTTAAGTAGTAATATTCAAACAAAGTCATTTGAGTAATTCAGGCACAGGCATGATTAGATTAACACAACAGACAAGTCTGTGGGTAAGCACTAAACGAAACCAATATAAACACAAATGGCCTTGTCGTTTGTCATACATACATAAAATGGCATAACTGTTGGCAAGTTTTTTCCATGTATCCCTAGATTCTGCTCACAGTATGAAAATTTAAAGAAATGCTATAATACAGTAGCAACCACAATAAAACTACTTGCTTTGCCTAATTATCTCAGCAATGATTAATCTGTGAAAATCAATTAAGTATGATACTCTTAGTAAGGGGACATTATCGGAATATAAAAGAAACAATCAGAATTTTTACTTTGCATCAATGGGCAATCTTGCTGATAACCAGGCTCTCCATAATAATAAGATAAATCAATAAGGAGGCTTTGATAGCCTCTGACTTACACGCCCATCATGGAAAATGTACTATGGATGAGTAGACAGATCTCACATTCCGTCTGATTTTATATATCTATTTTTGAGGAAAACATTTTCTCGTCGAATACAGAACATTGCAAAAGCAGACAACCGACTACATTTAAATGCATGATAAAATGTGTTCTAGTGAAAAACTAATTCCAAAAAGGAAACTCTTATGCTTTTATACAATTTAAAAACAGAAGAGTCACAAAAGGTCTAACGACGGAGTTAAGCTACAGAAAGTATCCTGACATCTTTATCTCCAAGTCAGAGCCATTTAAACCAATAAGCTTTTGTTTTACAATTACTGATCTAGAGATTTTTTTTGCATGATTTTTAAAATATGTTTTCACCCTGATTGGTAAATCGACCGGTGCCATAGTATTGCCATGGACAAAAAGACACAAATCTTTCTTCTACAAATTGATGTCCTACAAATAAAATCACTCATATTTTCATCAAGATCTACTGTCTATCTATTTTCATCCTGTACCTTATAAGTTTTAAGGACCTAATGCATTTTAGATGTTATGCATTTTAAAAAACAAAAAGTAAGATTAGGAAAACAGACACAACCAAAAAAAATCTTCATTTTAACTGTTATTGAGATTCATAAATTCTTACGATCCATGCACAAATCATTTGCCTCTCCCCCCCCCCCCATAAAATGAGCCATATTCTGTGGTTATGAATAAAGCAAAACAATGCAAGTAACTATACCAGAATAAGGGTTAAGCAATAAAGCTTCTTATATTTATGTCTTGTTCAGGATACAAACTTTACTGCCATATTAACTTCCCTGTTGTTCTCAAAATATAAAACGCCACACGCCACGAAATACAGAATACAGTATTACAAAGCCTGCACTTTTCTGCATGAAGCCATCTTTGGTTTTCTATACTCGTTTACTTTGTGGTACATAAAGTATCATATACATAAAAAAAACTAGAAATTGGACATATATTACATTTTAAAGAGAATTTATACATGTATGTGCATAGTAAAAATACAGATGTATATTACACATGCTAGATAAGAATCACAGTTTGGAAAACTAAATTATCAAGAGAACGGATTTTTTTCCAGGATTGTCAAAATCATGAATATTGGCGGTTGCTTTAATTACAAAGAAAGACTAATAAACTATAAACAATGGCAGGGTGAAAACAAGCTATTTTTCAGGGGTATAGTGAACAACTATTTTCTTTCTTTTATACTTTTAACGGTTCTGAAAAACACATACTCAAGATTCAGCCATAAAATGACTGGGAAGGGATGTAGCTTGAAAGAAAAAAAATGGGGTAAAGAGGGTGCCTGAAAAAATCTGGAAGGAGGGTGTCTGTGACCTTCGACCTCCTACACTTATATGACGACTGGTGGTTTCAGGCCGTCAAACACGAGCTGAAGAGGTGGTGGAATAATGGATTTGCATCTCTGAAGTATCGCGTCGGTGTCTCTGCCAGGGGGAGAACGAGGAGAGCAATACTTTCCCAAGGTCGGTATCTCCTGTTCAAGGAATATATAGAAAGATTAATTTCAACTATTACGGTAATTACATCCACCTGACTTCTACAATGTTTTAGTCCCATATAAATTTGAGAATGCCTTACTGCTTAACATTCATTCATCCACTCATCCATCAACTAACATTGTCCCTTTATCTAGGAAAGGGTTACAAAAGGGTCTAGAACCTACAGCAGGCATCACAGGGCACAAGGTAGGGGAAGACCCTGGATGGGAAGCCAGATATCTCTCTCTCTCTCTCTCACACACACACACACACACACTAAGAAAAAATTAGAGATGCTAATTTGCCTAACTGTATGTCTTTAGGTCACAGATGAAATCCAGGCTGCCTCGAAAAAATAAAAAACTGTGCTACAGGCAAGCTTCACTCACAACGAACAGGGGTGAGATCTTAACACCCAACCCAAGGGACAGAGAAAAAGAAAACCTTCACAAAATAAATCTGAATGTGTCTGCTACAGGTGTGGATAGTCCAGGTCCAGAAAGTGAAAGTCCTGACCACGATTTTGACACAATCAGAGTACTCATCTGGTTTGTTTGAAACAAAATCTTGGTCTGGACTTTCACTTTCTGGACCTGAAGTATCCCCTGATTAAATGTATTAAAATACAAACATCAGCACTAAACTTGAAAAAACATAAAAAGTATAAGGGTGCCTCACCCCAAAAAATATGCAGTTTATACTATTAGTCCTATTACTACTCAATATTTTAACATGATATTTCAACTTTTAAGAGCGTGCTACAGTCTTACCGATCAGTTAGGTGTCACGTTCCTTTTTCACTTTCACATCACCTGCCAGGATGGTGGAGATCTCAGCCTGCATAAAAGCCCAAGGCACACTGGAGCCCACAAGTGGGCATTTCTCTCCACTGGGGCAGTAAACCTCACTTCCGGCACTTTGACTGCGTATGAAGTTCCGCGTACACGGGAAGCAGAACTTGTGATTTGTCACAGAGGGACACTGGACAAAATGGGTGTCTTCCAGCCGCTCGTGACAAATGGTGCAGCACAGCAAGGTGCTTGTGACACCCACAGATGACTCGGCAGTAAAGGTGCCAGGCTCGCTTCCAGAGGCAAGGGACAAGGAACTAGTGCTCGATGAAGTTCCACTGCCGTGAGGCTCTCCGTTGCGAGTGGCAAGCCGGCGTTGTTGCCCAGCAGATATGGCTGTGGATGGACTGCCGCTGTTATGCTGAGCCCCCATAGAGTGAGCCAGACTGCCAGCGCTGCTGCTCGCCTGTCCATCTTTGGGCGAAAGGCCGGCCGTGCCCAGATTATCAGCCACGCTCATGAGCGCAGAGATCGGAGAAGGATCACTGTGGGGAGCTGAACTCTCCTGAAGGGACGGAACCCCGGCAACGATCATATTGGTTCCAGGTAAATGCGCAGTCATGCTTGGGTAAATTCCTCCAACTGATGTTCCAGGCGGCCATTGCTGTCGCATATGCTCCTCACTCACTCCTCTTTCGCCGGCACCCTCCGGTTCAGGAGATGCCTTTCGCCGGCGCACACGGGATGGGGCTGAGCGACCCATGTTACATAGAGCAGTGGGAAGCATGGAGTGGTTAGCATCCAGGTAGGGCTGGGGGAGTGTATCAGACCCAGGGGCATCCTTGAAGGCCCGCACTCCATCTGGGAGCAGCTCAGATAGAAGACGCCAATCGCCAGTACCGTGCCGCTTCTCATATTCCACATACTTGTACCCAGAGTTGATTACTTTGTTTCCGCTGTCTTTCTGGCTGTCATAAAACATCTGTTTGACAAGACTGAGCAAGCTGGAGAAAACATTGCCCGAACCGCAAGGGTACTCGATGAAGACTTTCAGCTCAAACTCCACATTCAGCTTGGCATCAAAGGCAAAGATCCGCCCAGTGAGGCTGTGGTCTTTCTTGAAGCGCACATTAAAAGGAGAGCAGCTGGTGAGTGTCATCAGGGAGTCTCGCACAGCTTTTGGACGCCCTGCCCAGTCATCAGCTCGGTTGCGTACGCTTTCAGAAAGCTCAGCAAGCGCCTCGGCATTTCGTTGCTTCTCTTTCAGTTCCTTCTCAAAATCAGGACTTATAAAGGAGGCCATACTCGTTCCCAAACCCATGGCCTGACGCTTGCTTATGTCATGCAGGATAGGAGAAGCAATACCAAGAGTCCCTCCAGGTCGAGGGTTAAGAGCTGATGCGGCTGCCAAGAAACCATGAGGCGTCCCCACTATGCCCTGTGCCATTAAACTGGGAGGTACAGTCCCCACCATAGCCCTCCTGGCATTAGGACTTTGCCTGCTTACTTCAGGAGGGCCTACATCCTCAGGCCTGGAAAGACCATTTGGGAGTCTTGGGGGGACCCCGTACTCTCCTCTTCCTCTCTCAAAGCGCTCACTAGACTGCCTGCCACCCTCCATAGGTCCATCCTTTCCACCTGCACCGTGTTTGCTCGGTTGAGGGCCCGGAGACCTGCATTCCTGCATTGCATGTGTTCTTTTCAGCTGCCTAGCAGTTTCAATGAGAAATTCAATTCTATCTGCCCCTTCATAATTTACACATCCCCGGCACACAGTCTCACTGAAGTCCCATATCATGGCCCAGGGCATCTTTGGCAGATCACAAAGGTAACACCATTGCCGCCTGGATGATGCCTGTGAAGCTGATGACATTATTAGGGCCTCCCTCTCGTTTTCTTTGAATTACTTCTGTTTTCCGGGTTCCCTGTCCTGCACTGTCTCCGTTAATTACCGTATTTCCAGCGCCTCCTTCGTCCTCTTCGCTGAGCAGATCCCTATAGTTTCTGGAGTACCTTCTTTACTTGAAGTTTTCCCCCCTGTTGTCGCTCGTGTCTTCGGGTAAGTGGAAGCACTTCTCCTGGAAGACAGTGGAAACTTACACAACTCTGCGGCATTGCTTCCTGGGAGATGTAGTTCTACGTATTACGCAGTGTTCGAAAGCAGGGAAGACGAGCAGGGGTTGTTGTGAAGTTTTATCGTTAATACCGTTATATTTTATAACTAATGCTGTTTTACTGTGCACTCGCACTCATGAAGACAAGAACTACTGCTTTTAAAATGCATTTATGGTTTTCAAAAATTACTGTTCAGAATCGAAAATAGTAACAGGCGTATTTACTTGCTCATATTTCCCACATCCACCTTATTTGCCAGTAATAATGTTGAAATTAACAAAAAAAATAAAATAATAATTCTTATATAAAGCTAGATAATTAACTCACCACGCTACAGCTCACTGTCACGAATCAGACCAGTAGTTAGAATCTAACAACTTCAGTTTTTATGAAATTTTAATGACAGTGCCAGTGTTAACGTTACTACACACAATTTTGTTGTATGATTTCTGCACTGTTTTTTCGGTCCTTAACTTCATGTTTCTGGCAAGTTAACTTCAACTCCCATAATTCACCGGCAATAAAAACATCTGACGCGACTGCTTCTCCCGCCTCTATATTCGGTTGCGCAAAGGAACGTTCTTCGCTAGAATTCGGCGCAGTTATGTGTAATTCGTGGGTCCCCACTCCCGGCAGAACTAAACCGACATTTGAACTCAGTCAGTCTGATTCCCATTATTATTATTTTTTTTTTGTAAATATTGAACACTGACGATGACTAAATGAATATATTTTACATTTAATTGTTTGGGAGGCATTTGTCAAAAGCGACGACAGGTGAAGATCAAAGAGCAGAGTCAGCCCGAGTTACTGAAGAGCATATTTCCAAAACTTGTATTTTTTATGTTTTTGAGATCGCTAATGACCTAACGTTATATGCTTCCTCATCATATGTTACAATACTGGGAACTGAAACTCACTCAGTCCTCATGAAATCCAGCGAAGTACTTAAGTTAAATTTCCCAAAAAAGTACACAGAAATGGTATTTACTCACGATATAATAACCACGCAAAATTAGTAAAAAAAATGGCGGATGAAGAATGTGTTGAATTTAGTGAAAATGTTTCTGAGTCAAGGAAAAGGAAAAGACAACCAGAGAAATGGAAAAAGAATATAAATAAAAGTGCAAAATATAAAAAGGAAGGGAAACAGCCTAAAATTTCGTGTGAACACACTGGAGTCAGATCTGCAAAAGGACAAAAGATTGTTTGTCAGGCCAGCAAGCTAACAACAAAAGATGTCCAGCGTAAGTATTAAGGTCTAACATTTTGTCGACGTACTCTGTGCTGTCATATATAACGCTGGTCCGAAAGCTATTAACGTTTTTGTTGCTTTGGAAAGGAAATAAAATACCCTTAATATTGGTACTTTTGTTTGATGTCGCTGTTTTATGTCCAGTAAGGACAGGTCGTCTGTACACTAATGTGCTGAATGACAGTACTAATATTCTATAAAATTTCATATAGTTTAGTAGGCATGAATGCTTTTGCATTAACCATTCAAGTCGTTTTTTTAAATTTTATTACTGCTTTAATATTGCTTTTTAAAATATTTTAGGCACTTTCATATATATTATAACTTTCATATATTGTAACTTGTAGAGTTCTTCAATCAACTTTATGAAAGTGGTAAAGCTGATCAAGATGCATTCTTGCTTCTGCATCTGTCACCAAGCATCCCAAAACGTCAAAGAACACGTGCCGACTGTGGTAGAAAAAGACCAATACAGACTAAGTATTTCATTAGAAAAGCAGACAGCGGTTCACCAGTACGTGTATGTTCTGCTGCATTCTTATCAATAGCGTGTGTTTCACGATTTCGACTGAACAGACTTGCCAAACATGCTATCAGTCATGGAGGAACTCCTAAAGAACAACGTGGAGGGAAGAAGATCAATGAGATTGATGAAACAGGAGTTCTACCAACAATCAACAAAGTTAAAGCTGCAGAAAAGAAAGATGTTGAAAAGCTGATGTCTTACTTTGCCATCTCCAGAAAAGCTAAAGACTTCTATACCGATGGTTTGTCAGCAAACAGTAATAGTTCTGATGACTTGGAAGCAGACATCAATAATGATAAAGAAACATTTTTGTAGTGTGATATAGTATTACAGCCATTTAAATCGATACATTTTTTTTTCAAGCATTGATACTTTGTCATACTTTACCATTCTGCGAATGCCAGAGACATTGATATTTAATCGGTAAATGATAAAAAGTTCAGATGACTTAAGCAAAGTTACATACATACATCATTACTGTGAGTTTTAGAAATTTGCTGTTCAATTGAAGTTAAGGGTCTTGCTCAAAAGCCTGATGGCATCACCCAGCCAGCCGTGGGAATTTAACTAGTGGGCAGAGAGGCAGAGAGGCACACACACTTGACAGAGGCACTCTCCTGTGATTTTCACATACTACAGTGTGGGGTTCACAGGGAATGGTGGGAACATAAAAAAATTATAATCCAGTCCAAAAAAGGGCCACCATGTTAAGTCAGATGAGAACGGCTAAGCTTGCATGATGTGTCCACCTTCCAGTGGTTCTGGAGAAGAAAATGGTCTGTCTCCACACTTTCCTACTATTGTATTTCTATCTGTCAATGGTTGTAAATCTGTTTCTGATGCAGCATGTAATTTTTCTGATTATTAATAGATTCCGTCATTACATACATATGGTACATACTTAATGTTTTTATTTAGCCCTGTGTTTGTTTTTAGTATGCGGAATCAACCGTTTCAAAATCAATCTTAAAAGTAATGTTACAAAATTTACCACCAGATGGCGATGATGCACATTCATGAACACTTCTGGGTATTCATTTTACCTTCCCCTGTCAGTTTTGCTTTAGGAATTCTAAATGACAAATGTTACTGTTCAGTGCACTATAAAATACCCATAATGCATAGTGTACAGACGATGTACCCTAGGATACTCCTATATACCACAATGCAATGCTAAGCTGACGTCTACTGTCAACTGACCTCTCGCAATGCAAACAAGATGGCGCGAGAGGGTAGCTATGAAAATGTGAGCACATTTTTTTTTATCTTAAAATGGGACTGGTAATACCGATCTCTGCAAAGACTGAACAACAATAATTAATAGTAACACAATAATCCATTCATCTTTCAACTTGGTCACCGCCGCGGGTAAAATTTAATGATAATAATTTAAAATTAATTATAGATTTACACATCCGTCTCCTTTATTCCGTTTATGTTATCGATATATTTTATTTGCAAATGTCAGCTTTCAGAGGTTGCTAGGAGACCAACACAGATCGTCTTGGAATTTAGTCTCTGAAAATGTCGACTTGTTTCACTTATTCCCAGCATCGTTAGCTGTAGATTTTCCTCTGTGGAGACCAGTAAGTGAGTAAACCATTTCGAATACATCCTTGGGCTATATGGCAAGTAAAGAGCAGACGCAATGCACATAGTGTATCCAACAGCAGACCCCTACACAGACATTTTGGGGGCAGTAGCTGACGCCAAAAAGGCCAACCCCCTCCTCCCTGGTGCTAAATAGCTGCCCCAAGCAGTAGGCCTATTATAATGTATCTTTTTGTTAATCAAATTTCACACGTATTATTGCTGTTTCCATGCAGTGAAATGGCGAAAATAATGTTGCAGTCTGCAAACTGGGTGCAAAGCATCAGTTATGTTAGCCCCGGGTTCTGTATTTGAAGAGACATATGGATTTTGATTTTAATTGAAAGCTTTCAGATTCAAATTAAAATCGTCATTGCATTGTCAGACACTACCAACACATTATGGTTTGGTTTCAGGTCATACTGTGTGGTTTTATGAATGGACGAGGGAAATTTAAAAATGATAATGACAAAACAGTTAGCATTTGTCTAAGGTACAGAAATTGATGGTAATTATATGGGTAACAAAAGTGTATTGTGCTTTTCAAAAATTCAAAATGTTCAGTACCAACAGGGACGGCAAATATAAAAGACTATTATTTTGGATTCCTTAGGAACATAGAATTATATAAACACTGTATATTTTTGTATTATTTGTATTTTCCGTGCAGGAAAATGAACAAAACAAAAGAAGCATACTCAAGAGATAAACTGGTGAATTTTACAAATAATATGAGACAAAGCTACCTTTTTTTAAATTGTGCATTTTAGTCATTTTATCCCAGAAAGTTCTATATAATTTTATTCAGTCTTAGACTCTGCTGTTTATTCAATCATTTAAAATCAATATCAGACCATACATATGGATGAGTAAAATGCACCAGATGTTCCACAATCTGTGAAGTTTCTTCTGTTCTGTTTATTAGCAGCATGACCAACGATCCTCCTGATGAAAATAGAGGGGACAGCTGGAGGTGCAGAGGAACAATGTAAAATTTAAAAAAGTGCATAATTACTTGCAAATAGGGATCATCCGGTCTCCATATATATTATTTTTGTTGTTGCTTTCACTTGGGTCAAAGTATTTAATAAATACATATTTTGTAAGCAGCATTTATATGTAGAAAATAAAAATAAGAACAATTCATGTGAGTCTTTTTTTGCAAGTCATACCTGACTCTTCAGAAACTGTCCCCTCGTCTTGTGCAGGTCATGACCCTGCTTCCCTTCCCCCACTGTCTCATTGCCCAGCAGAGATGCAGTAACGTGGACACAAAGGCTGTTGTTCGTGCAGGATACATACACTGGGCCTGTCCACTATAACATACCCAACCCTTAAACATTTTCAATGCAATTCAATAAGTTTCCTAATAGAAGTTCCACAATGGAGGTTAAGTACATGGTGATTTAATTTTATAAACTGTGAGAAGCAGGTTATTTTGTTTTACAACTTTCCCCAAAAAAGAAATATACACATTTTTTTTCTTTCTTGTCAGGAGGCGATCACTTGAATAGAACACAAACATTGATGTGGATGGCTTCTGTTGTGTTAATTTTATGTTGTATTGGGCTTTGTAGTCTGTATATCTTCCATAACCATATATTACTGTCAATTTTGCATCCTCAAAGCACAGCACACCCTTGACCATGCATACATACCACAAAATACCAAGATGCACCTATGTTAGACACTTTGTCTTGCTTTGATTGTCCTCTTATCCCATTGCCTTTCTGCTCATCTGCTTCCCTACTCTATTCTCTCTCCTGTTTTGTCTGGTTTACTGGCCCGTCACTTTTAAGCAAGGGCTGGTGCTGGGTCTTCTCTCCTTTGGTAGCATCTGCCCAATTGGAGGATGACGCGTTAAATTTGAGCGATGCCAGTGTCTGAAATGGCGGGGCAGAGATTGAAACTGCGAGATGGGTCGTTCTTGGAGAGTTTGTGCTTTTATTGGGATACCTGGCACTAAATGTTCTTGAATGTTCTGCAGCCCTGATTCTGAAGATTGCGATTTGGCTTTGGTTGCCTTCAGTAGTGTTCCAGTTTGTAATATATACATTTTGTAAATAGTACCTTGGTGTATCTGGTTTTCTTTCCAGTCCAGGTGACACCGACGGTGATATTTATTTAATCAAATGCTACTTGCTGGTTTCCTAAGATATCAGCTTAATCAGAGGACATAACAATTAATCCATTTAAACTGTGTTATATTTGACTGGGTGGAAACCTACCATGTGTACGGTAAATGGGGTGGAAATTGAACACACATCTCTGGAGACACGGGGCCACCATGCCGTCTTTCAATACACTCCTGTCAATCTTTTATCTTGTAAGTTCATTGCGTGTTGTGAGGGAGTTTCCACAATTCGGAAATTCTTTTGTAAGACAGCTTCTTCATAGTGTTGTAGTTGGATCCATATGATCCAACAGATGATTGTATAATAAATTCCTCATTTTTTTCTGGGAATTCCAAGTCTTCATTTGAGATTCCTTACTATTTTCTATTGCTGACACCTGAAAAATGATCCTATATATTATAGAACTAAAATTCATCGTTCACATTGAGGCCTAAATGTTTTACTAATCCAAGTCTGTATTTGAAACAGCAATACAGTAAAGACGCACATACACACACAGACAAAACAAGGACACAGCACAGCGCTATCTGTCCATTCATCTTCTAGCTCCTTATCCAGTATGAAGGGATGCTGGAGCAGGTCCCAGGCAGCAAAGAGCACAGCGCAGGGGAACAGTACCGCCGGGGTGGCAGAATATCACAACAAACTTCATTATTGTAATGTGTAATTAATAGAGGTGCAATGGTACACAAAAGTCACGGTTCGGTATGTTTTTGGTATAGCGGGTGTAAAAGAAACAAAACATAAATTGCTTCTTTTTTCCTTTATTAAACAGTGGTTTACTGAACAAAGTATCACCGTCTTTCATAAATAAAAAGTCATACTACTGCAGCATACTAATAAAAAACTAAAATGTACTTAAAAGTAAATCAAAATAAATATTCTCTCAAGGAAATAAAAATCAATATCCAATAAGGTGCCCATTTTAAAAAATGAACTGTATCTGATTTGCACTGTATTCACATTAGCATATTTTTGGTCTGTTTCAGAGAAGCCTGGTTCCGTGTGTGGGGGTTTGCATGTTCTCCTTGTGTCGTCATGGGGTTTCCTCCAGATACTCCAATTTCCCCCCCACAGCCCAAAAACAGGTGAATTGGAATTACAAAATTTCCCATAGGTGTTTCATGTGTAGGTGACTGGTGTATGAGTGTGTCCAGTGATGGGTTGATACCCCATGCTGGGTTATTCCCAGCTTTGTACCCATAGCTTCCTGGATCTCAATGACCCTGAGTAGGACAAGCAGTGCAGAAAATGGAAGGATGGATGGATGTTACACGGGTTCTAAAACCATTTTGCCGGGCCTCATAGCTCCATATTCCCTATTCAGCTGGAAGAAGGTAACCGTGGACTCAGGATTGGTATCATAAACATCAACAGCCTTCAATATGCTGATGACACGGCACTTACAGTGGAAAAGGAAAAAGATCTGAAGACCCTTAAATAACAGCTAAAGAACAGAGTGAAACAATTGGACCAAGACCAGATGTGAAAACAAAAGCTTAATTAGAAAGAAAAAGGGGAAACAGTGGCTGATGCTGCTTGCCTATGACCATGGCAACGGATGCTAACCATACTGTTGACAGTGAAGAAACAGAGACAGCTTCTGCCTCCTTAGAACAACGATTAACAACAAATAATCCAGCAATCAAGATCTAATTCAGAAACTGGTATTTGGCATGAAGACCAAGACAGAAGGCAGAACATTCTTGAGAAATGCAGTTTATATGGGTGCCAAGAGTAAGTTTTCACTTAATAATAACCTAATATTTAATATTCAGGAAATAAGTTATTCTATAATTATTGTTACATCTGGCCCAGGATCTAGTTCGCTATCTACCTGCCACAGGAATGGTCTCTCCTCCCAGCCGAATGACTTCAACGCATAATCACCCACAGCTGCTCTCAATATATTTATCTTATGCCTGGTGAAAGTCTTGTTGCTGAGTTTTGAGATTTAGTTCTGCTTACTCAGACTTGCTATTATGTTTCTTGATTAGGCTTACTGGTTTTCTGATTTTGTGTCTGTTCTCTAGTTCTCTGGTATAACTCAATGTCTTGGATCATGGTTTCTAATTGCCCAACCTTGTTTAGTACCTCAACCTTTAAATACTAATTGTAACATCTGTTATTTTCAGCCGTCTCAGCTGCGACCCTCACAGAGAGCAACCCAAGTCATGTCAGCACTTAGTATGTGGAGGCACGGACCAGCCAACAGAAAACTGGGTGTATGCAGTTTGGGGAGTCCTGTCTGGGACATACACTGAATCCAAAGTTAAAACGTGTTTTTTTTAATATATATGTATTGTGTCACACAGACAAAACTATAAATAACATATGCATATGCTAAAGTTAATAGAATTCCAAAAATCCCCTTGACAAACCATGAAAACTAAGGAGTGTAATGAGCATCAATTTCTGATTTTGGGCTATATTGGTGGTGTACGTTTGGCCTTCCCATATATTATGTGGATAATACTGCACAAGTACCTGACGTAGAACTCCAGTATTTGGTTTAAGTATATGTTAAGACTTACATAATTTTATAATAGGGCGCTGGTGTTTAACACGGTGCCCAGCTCACGTGTTTAACGTCGATCAGCTCCAGATGGCAGAACATAACTAAAATGCGTACAGCGGTAATAAAATAGCCGTTTATACACTTAGACAAATTTAATACGAACGGTGCCATCTGAACATCTACATCGCTGGTGTATGAAGATCGTTTTCCTGGAAGCTTTTCTTCTCACAGCGCCAACCACCGGAAATCTATGGAATGAGGTAGCACGTTAGTCAGGGGCAGATGTACCGAAAGTTCGTGTTACGTACTTGGAGACGTTCCGCAGCGACCAGTGATTGAGTCAGTCATCCCTCCTCTTATGTCACGTGAAAATCGAAATTTATACATGCCTTGTTGAAAAAACAGCAAACGTTATCCAATAGATTTCGGGCAGGGGCGGCTCGGGTTTCGACTCTGACAAGGATGTGTTCCGATGCCATGACGTCACTAATGCCCTGCGCTGACAGTCAGTCAGTCCAGGGATGCTCTGAGCACAAGACTGCGGCATCTTTCACTGAACGGTTCTCCGGCATAGCATCTCTTTATTGATATTTCATCCATCCTCTGCATTAACCCCCCATCTAAAACCCTTTATCTTCAACCCAATAAGTATCTTGATGCGAGAACCGAAGACCGGCTAGAGAATACTTTTTGATTTTTTCCTCATCAATTTCTTTTCATTTCCCAGGGTTCTTTGTTTTCCTCACATCTGACATATTGCCTTTTTTGTTTTCCATTTTTGTAGCATTTGTTTCTGCGAGAAGACCGTGAACGTTCACAGAGCCTGAAACGGATACGTGAGATAAAATTACCAAGAAAAACTACAGAACGTAACGACATAGGTATTATTATTATTATTACTATTATTATTATTATTATTATTATTAGTTCTACTTGGAACTGCACATTAACTGAGTGGAGAGCAAGAGGAAAGGCATTCGTTGGATTTTTTAATACAGACGTGACGTTTTTTTTTTCCTACCCAGCATCAAGCTTTCCTTGAATAAGGCATCAACAAACACACAACGTATAATTCTGCTGTTTGGCGAGAGGGGATAAAGCGTGCGAAGCCCTTCATTGAACACAACGTCAACTTCGAATTGATACGCCATTCTAATTGTTTAACAGTTTGCTTTTCCCAAGACGCGCTCGCCTTCGAATTGCTTTCACAAAAACCTAGTTTCATTGAAAATACTATGAAAATGATGGCAGGTGGGGCAGTTCAACAGAACGGGATTTTCTCGAATCCTCACCATCACAATCAACAGCCGCACATGGAGTCCGATCCCCCAGATTCGCGCAAAAGACCGCTGGAGACCCCGACAGAAGCCAGCAGCACAAAACGCACAAACACCGGAGGTAAGAAGGAAACTGGAGGCTTAGAGGTCAGTTATAAGGAATCAGTAAGAAAGTGAGCAAAGCTGGATTGTTACAACTGAACGGAAATCAGTA